TCAAGTCTTTTGTTGTTAAGTCTAAGTGTTTACATGTGGCCTTCCTGTCTCGGCCTCCTGAGCGCTGAGGGGATTATTGGTGGAACCAGCTCCTCACTGTCTTTGTGAATAGCCCTATGTGATGGCCCTTCAGATAAACGGGCAACTGGCCAGACACTGTTTGGAAGATGAGATTATTCGACATTGAGCATCTACAGGTGATTATTAATGTTACTTTTAAAAAAAATCAGTAAATTGCTTGAATGCAATTGTTTCTCATGCACCTTACTGCTCTCACTCAGATCTCCATCTCCAAAGCAAGAAGAGGGTTCCTTCTAGCTGGGGGAGGGATAAAAGGAGGGAAGGATGTCTCCTTCCGATGTCTCCTCTCCGAGGCACCTCGGGTCTCTCTTTACCTTCAGTGTAGCAATAAAACAAACAAGAGGCGATTTGAAGCTGCTGAGCCAGAGACAGGTCTTTGTAACATCTCTGAGCCTGGCTCTCTGCTCCTCCTTTGCAAACCTCTTAACCTTTCTGGGTCCCCTTCTCCCTACCTTCCTCCTAGGCTCTCCAAGTATAGGATTCACACACCAGCTCCTCAGTATACCTCAGAGATGTCCTATCATCACTTACTAACTGCTTCGATGTGTATTTGTTTAGTTTAATCACGGGGATTCAACAGCCATCTGCCTCTGACCTGCTCCAGAGGACCCTTGCTCCAGCTATTAATAGCAAAGTCAGAAATCCGAAGAGGCCATCAACAGCAAGTGAGAAGATTCGGGTTAGTCAAAGGAGGGCTTAGTGTTCAGTGCTGGTGTGCCTTCACAGAGCCTCCAGCAGCACTTAAATAAGCTGCTCACTCATCACAGAGCCCGGGTGGGAAAAACTAACCCTGAGCTTCTATAAAAACAAACAAACAAACAAAAACTCAAAAACCAGTTCTGCCATTTCTGTGCATATTATGCATATTCTGTGTTTTGCTTAATAAGAAATGTAATTGTAGCTGGGCAGTGGTGGTGCACGCCTTTAATCCCAGAACTTGGGAGGCAGAGGCAGGCGGATTTCTGAGTTCGAGGCCAGCCTGGTCTACAGAGTGAGTTCCAGGACAGCCAGGGCTATACAGAGAGACCCTGTCTGGAAAAACAAAACAAAACAAAAACAAAAAAACCAAAACAAAACAAAAAAGAAATGTAATTGTATCATTCTTGTAATTTTCTTTTGGATTTTTTATTTTCTCTGTCAAAAAGAATAGAAGATGACAAGATAAAGATTTGCTTTGCAGCTACTTTGAGATAGTTACAATAGAGCACACAATAAATGAATTATCAATAGAATATGCCTGATTTACCTTTAGCTAATTCAGTGTGTGTGACCCTTCTAAAATTGCATACCTCTGCACTCATTTATAAAGAAAGAGTGTGTTGAGAATCCTGCCCCTGACAGGGTATGTGTCCTAGCACATAGCAGTGATATAGTCTGTAAGGATAAAATGCTTAATTTATTAAAAGTTTTGAAGAAATGCCATGCTAGCCAAATGTTTTGCACAGATTTACATTCTTACAGTGAAAAATACCACTGACTTTTTTTTCCCCACAGAAAGGGCTTTTTCTTATAATGATTTTAGACTAATCTAAAATATAATAGTTGGAGGGTTAGTTCATTGTCAAGTGTATGGCAAAAGAGTGCCAATACCGGGGTTCAGTCTTCTGAAGCAACAAGGCAATACGCTTGAACATGTATTAGTTGTTTTTGTAATCTGCGGGTCATCACCCGTCCCTCAGGAAGTCAGTTCATAATTTTGGTGCACGGAATAACGCTCAAATTCCAGCCCAACTCACTTGGAAGAGCACTGTGCTGATAACGGCTTCACCTCTGCGAGGAGAGGGTGCGGGCACTGAGTGTGCACAGTCCATAGACGACTACACAGCACAATAGTCTCAAGTTGTTGTATTTTTTATTTGCAGAGGAGTGAGGTTTGAGCTCCTCCCCCCGCCCTGCCATCAATAGTGTTAATTCCACGCCTCCACTGAGGGCAAGGCCACGGTGGGCATTATTCTGAAGCCTTCATTTTTCAATGACACCAAACATCCCCCTGGTCTAGTACCCTGCTGCGGCCCCATGCGCCACCCCTCCCACCCCAACCCAGCCTGCACCAAGCATGGCTCATCTGAGCTGCAGCTCCGAAGTCGCCTTTAATTTCCCAGCTCCGACCACCGGAAGCGAGCGCGAGGCGGGGGCCGGGCGAGGTGGACGCACCCACCGATGTCGCCGGCGCCCGCGGGACGCGCCACTAGCCCGGCCCTTGTTCGCCAGGCTCGACGCTCGCCCACCTCTTCCAAATTTAACCGTTACCTAAATCCGAAGGGAAATGAGCAAACCTCTGGGATTGGGTGTCAAGGTATTTTCAGCTTCGATGGGCGTATTTATCCTCAAGTGTTTCCACAACAAGTTATTTCGGGGCCCGAGGCGCAGGTTTCGCTCTGCGGACGCGGTGGCCGGTGGCCGGGCTCCAGGCCGGAGGCACCGGGTCCGGTGATTCACGGCCCCGATTGGGGAGCGACGCTGCCTAAGCAGGCGACAGGGTTGGAGTGCCCAGGGCCGGAGGGTCCCGGAGCCTAGCGAGCTGCCTGCTCCCAGCGCCCGCCGCTCCAGTCAATCTGTGTCCTGAATCTGTGACTTCTCGCTGCGGAAGTCTCCAGGAGCCAAGAATACTTCGATTTTCTTTCTAGTCATTTCTAGTGCTGGGGATGTCTCAGACATCCCGGGGACTCCATATATAGATAGCCCCGCGGTCCCACAGACAAACAAATTGAGGGGGGGCTGCTCAGGGTTGCCTGGGATGTTGGCCGCAAGAATATCCCCCTCCTGTCACCTCCTGACCCCTTGCGCAAAGGAGGCTCGTGGCCTGCTGTCCCACTGGGGGATGGGGCTGGGGCTGAGAAGGCTAGTGAGTGCCTCTAACGCTCAGGAAGTGAAGTCTGTGGTTTTTGGGGGCTGAGCTCGAAAGGAGATTAAAAAAAAAAAGTCAGATCAGTCTCTCCCGAAAGCAAGATTCAGTTTGCTCACTCTCAGAGCTCGGTGCCCGCGCCCTGACCCCGCAGGTAGGTTTGCTGAACGGCTGTGCCTCCCACCCAGGCGGGGGTGGCCTCGAGGACTGGTAGGAGGACATTGACACTGTGGGGACGTCCCGAGAGCGCAGGCGGGTCCCCACCTGCCCACCTGCTGCAGAGCTCTGGTTGCTGGGTTCTGAAGCCACCCAGGCTGTGGAGCGAAAGATCTGGGAGAGGAGCACACGGTTGGGCGGGTGGATAGGAGAGTGGGATCCACGCAGGAAGGAAACATCTGGTGGCATGTGGCGGCAGCGGGGCTCTGGAGCCTTCAGCTCTCCAGTTCCCAGCCTCAAATGACCAGGGGCAGCCTGGATGGCGGCTGTGCCCGGAGCGTGCCGCCCCGCCCCCTGGACGCCAGCTGCAGCACGAGGTCGCCTTCCCACGCGCTGGGCCTCCTCGCCATCCCCCTAACCCTCCTACCCGGAACCCAGCAAAGCCCTCCGCGGCGTAGGTTTGTGGCCTGGGCGAGGATGCCACCTCTGTGTCTACCCTGTCCCGCGTGGTGCTGACGGGCAGACCCAGCGCGGGACCAGACAGCCCTGGCTTCCTATGGGTCTCGGTCTTGGCCATCGAGGCCCCCGAGCCTCCTCGAGGCCTCCTGGACTCTTGCCCTGTTTTCCTGCTCTTCATGCTTGCTTTAAGAATTGTCCTTTGGTTGCAGTGTCTGGCTGGACAGACAGGGAGTGCGGGAAAATTGAAGCAGCAGAGCCCGGGTCCTGGAAGCCAAACCTGACCAAGGCGTGTGGCACCCGCGCCCCAAGGCCTTCAGGAGCCTGTGTCTCAGGCAGCAGCACCCATCCCCCCGCATGCTTTTCTCCCCACTCCTCCGGGAAGCGCACACAGTAGGGCTGGGGATCTGGAGCAGAAGTCCTTGGGCTCCTAAGTGGGGACCACAGGGTGTGTTCTGTGTGTGGCGCCCAGGGGCGCAGAGGCCCTGGTTCCTCAGTCTGAATCGAACGCAGCCCAAGGACCGGGGGCATGCGCCAGCCTGCGCCCGGTATTTGAGCCCCGCCACCCACGTTCACCCTTTATTGCCTTGGGCCGCGGAGGCTGGAGGATTCGTTTCTCTTTAGGCCTCCCTAGGGTTGCCCCCAGAGTAGGCCAGGAGCTGGGGCGCAGTCACGGCCCCGCCTCCCCGCAGGGCTCGAGTTTCGACCCGAGATTAGGTGAACTGATTGGGGGTTAAAGAGAGCGACGCCAGCTCTTGATCGTGCGGGCCCCGGGACCCCGGCCTCCTGGCCACCGCTCACTCCGGTTTCATCTTGCTGGCCCGCGAAAACCATTGGCGTTCCACAAATTTGGGCGCCGCGTGTTTTCCAGTAAGCACGCAGTTCAGACTCAACTTCCCTAGGACAAGATTTTTTGGTGAGCAGATCAGAAAATACTTCTTTCCGGGACTTGGTTTCTGAAGCGAGGCCTACAGGTCTGGAATATTTCACAGTGGTCGCTGTCCTGCCCAGTGCCGCACCACCATTCCAGTGGGCGTTTCTCCTGGGACAAGTGTTGGTCTTTTGCCACCCCCACCTCACTTTCCTGTCCCCCTGGCTTCCTGCTTTCTGCTCCAGCCACTGCAGCACACAGTCCCTAGGCAAACCAGTCCCTCAGTCCTGTCTAGTGAGCCCCTCTTTCGCTTCTGTTTGTCGCGGGGCTCTTGGAGGTTTTGGCTCCAAGCCCCTTCCGGGTACCAAACACCGAGGCCGCCCTGATCGGCTAAACGAATCCACGCATCCCGGGCGCGCGTCGCAGCCCAGAAAGGAGCAGGCAGGCTTACAGGGCTGACTTGGGATAACGGACCTGTTGTGGACTACTGCTCTCGGGAGAGTGAGGAGTTAGCTTTGCTAGGGAAGGGGAGGGGCTGAGGCGTGGGCAGGGCAGAGCGACGGGACCTGAGCCAGAGCCCGGGGACAGGTTTTACCACTGAGCCGTAGCAGTGGCGGCGGAGACCAGGATTCGCGCCACCTGTCCGAGTGCCACCTGGTGAGCGTGGCGCCTGGGTCCAAGCCCCTCCTCCCGCGGCTTCCCTCTCTCCTCCCCGGCCCGCACTCTCCCTTGGCCTGGGAACCGACCACAACCGCCGTCGGTGCTGACTCTCATTTCCACCCAATTTTCCCCTCCTCTCAGAACTCAGAGGAACCGAGGGTCCAAACATCCGTCCAGCGGCTGGCCACCATGCCGCGCTCATTCCTGGTCAAGAGCAAGAAGGCGCACAGCTACCACCAGCCGCGTTCTCCCGGGCCGGACTACTCCCTGCGCCTGGAGACCGTGCCTGCGCCGGGCAGAGCAGGTGCGAGGCGCGCAGAGGCCGGGCGGGGCAGCTGCCAGGGACGCCGACTCTGCTCCAAGCCACCTCGATCCCTAGGAATCAGGGGAGGCTACCCTAATTCCCCTCGGGTGCTTTTTTTGTTTCTTGGTGCTCAGATTTGCCGAGCTTGCCAGAGATGCCCCTGGCGCTGGCAGTAGGCTCTTGAATCCGGGAGGTCTCCCGGCCGTGTCAGAGAGGACAGAGAAGGACGCGGGCGCCACGGTGGAACCACTTCAGTTCGGCCAGACTTAGGTTTATTTCTCTCCTGAATCTTCTCCGCAGACGGCGGCGCTGTAAGCGCAGGCGAGTCGAAGATGGAGCCCCGAGAGCGTTTGTCCCCCGACTCTCAGCTTACCGAGGTTCCCGACAGAGCCTCCGCGTCCCCCAACAGCTGCGAAGGCAGCGTTTGTGACCCGAGCTCTGAGTTCGAGGATCTCTGGAGGCCTCCTTCTCCCTCCGTGTCTCCAGGTAAGGGCCCTGTTTCGAGGTCTTGTGGCAGAGTCCCGGGGTTGCAGCACTGAGGGAAGCCCGCACAGGGGATGCAGAGGGTCGGTCTAGGGAACTGGCTCCTAAGGAAAGGGGTTCAGCGGGAGGCATCCAGCCTCCTTACTGGACACCTTGTCCGAAGTGCCCTCTGCCTCCTTCCAAGGCCCTTAGCTCCAGGCTGGCCCTTAATTCGTTTGCCTAGAACTTACGGGTGAGGTCAAATGAACTGGTCCTCTCTCCTGGCTGGCTTTTCTTTTATGTCCGGAATTCATTGTTTAGAAAGTGTCAGGTCCCAGAATCCAGGACCCAGACTTGAATACCTCAAACAAGAGACCTGGGCAGTCTGAGCAGGACAGAGCTGGCTGCCACACTGGCGTGCAAGGTGCTGCTGAAAATCTCAGCTCCCTGGCTCTGCCTTCAAAAACTTCATTTTCTCCCCTAATGCTAAGAAGGCCTAATCAGGGGAACCAGCATGCTCAGATTCATTTCCAGGGAGCAATTGACTAGAGTTGATGGCGGCGGCGGGGGCGGGGGCGAGGGGGTGTGTGAAGGGGAGTATCTCGGGTCACAGCAGAAGTAGAAAGGAGATCAATCCAAATTCTGCCAAGAGCAGGTTATGTCCCTGTCACACGACTAGCTTATTCACTCCCACAAGCAGAGGGTTCTTCCTGGCAGTGTGTGACCAGGCTCATGGAATAGGTCCGCCCAGAATGGAGTACACTTACTTGCATTCATTCAATACCCAGTTTTAGCAAAATTCACGTGCATGAAGGGAGAGGAGTTCTTCTGAAGGTGGTGGCTAGCTCTTGTTTGTTTGTTTTGTTTTGTTTTTCGAGACAGGGTTTCTCTGTGTAGCCCTGGCAGTCTGGAACTCACTCTGGCCTCGAACTCAGAAATCCGCCTGCCTCTGCCTCCCAAGTGCTGGGATTAAAGGCGTGCGCCACCACCGCCCGGCGGTGGCTAGCTCTTAACTGTAATTTTTCATCAGAAATCTGTCAATTTTTCATCAGAAGTCTATCAGGGATGGGCATACTTCGCGCCCTTGTCTGCTGTCCCTTGCGTCATAGGTTTGAGAAATCTTGGGGCCATTCCAGTTTGTTTAGTTTGACACTCCTAGACAACCTGGGCCCAGCGTGTATTGGCCTTCTTCGTTCTTTATAATCTATTGCAAAAAGGGATTGAGTGGAGGAGTACTTGGAAGGAGTCAGGTCCCTAAGCCTAAACTCTAGGTGTGTGTCTCAATCCTTCTAGCAGGGGCTGGGAGTGGGTGGGGTCCAGCCAGAGAACCATCAAAACGAATTTACCCGCCTCTCTGTATCATTTAAGTATCACTTTGCTGCGCTGTCACTGGCCCGGGAAGCCCCGCGGACCCACCTGAGTTTTACTCGGGGTTCGGTGTGTGTAGGGGGGGGGGTCTACTTGGCTCTCTAACCAGCTAGGGCGCCTGACAGTAGTGATCATGCACTGCGGGCTCCGCCCAGCAGCCTCGAACCTGACCCCACGGCCTCCTGTGCCTCCTCAGCGTCGGAGAAGTCGCTGTGCCGCTCTCTGGACGAAACCCAGCCCTACACGCTGCCCTTCAAGCCCTTCGCGTGGAGTGGCCTGGTGGGCTCGGACCTGCGGCACCTGGTGCAGAGCTACCGGCAGTGCAGCGCGCTGGAGCGCAGCGCGGGCCTTAGCCTCTTCTGCGAGCGCGGCGCGGAGTCCGGCCGCCCAGCAGAGCGCTACGGCCCCGAGCAGGCTGCGGACGGAGCGGCTGCGGGCCAGCCCGGGAGCTGCGGAACCGCCGGGGGCGCCACCAGCGCTGCGGGCTTGGGGCTCTACGGCGACCTGGCGCCCGCGGCAGCCGGGCTGTACGAGCGGCCGAGCCCAGCAGCGGCCCGGCTGTACCAAGATCGCGGTCACGAGCTGCACGCGGACAGGAGCGCGGGCGTCAAGGTGGAGTCGGAGCTGCTGTGCACCCGCCTGCTGCTGGCCGGCGGCTCCTACAAGTGCATCAAGTGCAGCAAGGTGAGGCTCCCGCGCGCCTGGCCTCATCAGCCCTGTGTCCCCAGTCCGTGACCCTCCAGCGTGCGCACCCCGCGACCCCCCTCAGCAGCCTTCTCCCTGGCCCCCCACTCGCCCTCAGGTGTTCTCCACCCCGCACGGGCTGGAGGTGCACGTGCGCCGGTCCCACAGCGGCACGAGACCCTTTGCGTGCGAGATGTGCGGCAAGACCTTCGGGCATGCGGTGAGCCTGGAGCAACACAAGGCCGTGCACTCGCAGGTAAGCTTGGCGCTGGCGGCTTGATTCGGCTTTCAGCTTGCCCACCCACTGCCTCCAGACTTTCCACTGCCTTCTGGCGCCACTTCTGCTTGCCCCCCCTATTTAGGTGTGCAGAGAGGCCTGGGTGACAGAGGTCCTGGGTGTGCTGCGATCTGAGATTATCGCAGTGTCGCACCTCTGTGAGCCGCCAGCGGTGGAATTCTATTGGAGTTTGCTGCTAATGCACTGGCTTTTATTCCCTTTTCATCCTTCCTAACTGGCAAGGGAGGGTCTCAGTTCGTGCACAGCGTCCAGTAGCGAATGCTAGCCATTCATTTATTCATTCATTCGTTTATAACTTGCCTAAGTCCAAGGCTTTAGGCACCTGAGAATCCTGTAGACACACAGGTCCTGTATGGTGATTAAAGAGAGAGATAAGCAAAATACTATACAAGTGTCTGTGACAGCAGCCCATCTGGTCCAAACCCCACAGTGACTGCGGAGGAGGGGCAATCTTAAGTGGCTGAGGTCCTGCTGAGGAGGGTGTCAGTGGGTGTCAAAAATGTAGGGCGGACCTACGCTTTTGCCCTGGGTGTGGAGGGTTGTGGCTGTAAAGTGTTTTGGTAGAAAACGCGTTAATCAGTAGGTGTTGAATGATGGGGTGGAGGGAGGGAGGGAGGAGAGGGTGTCTGGCTATGGGAGATATGTAGATGTTGGGGAACAGGTGAAGAAGCCCTACATGCTTCTCTCCCTCTCCCTTCCTCTCTGCTCTGCAGGAACGCAGCTTTGACTGTAAGATCTGTGGTAAGAGCTTCAAGAGGTCATCCACGCTGTCCACACATCTGCTCATTCATTCGGACACCCGGCCCTACCCCTGTCAGTACTGTGGCAAGAGGTTCCACCAGAAGTCAGATATGAAGAAACACACCTTCATCCACACAGGTGAGCTAATCCTGCAGTTGTAGAAGATGTTTGGAGCACATGATTCTCCATCTATATTCTGGCTCCAATGACTAGTTCTCCCCCAGAGTGAACTTGGGTTTGTCTCTGGGTCTGAAGAAGTATTTCCCTCTATGTTAACAGCTTTGCTGCATCCAGCCCTCCTAGAGAGTCAATGTAAATCTTTACTAGAGATGTAGGGATTCATATGTTTCAACTACACTTTAGTTTTATAAGAGCTTCCTTTGTTTGAGCAGGAAAAGAAAAGCAAATGTTACTAACTTTCCTGCGTTCTGTGTTGACAGCTCCAGGAGACAGGAACTGTTTCTTTAGCCCCATTTTAGAGATGAGGCTCAGAAGGATGAAATAACTTACCCAGGATTACAGGGCTCAAATTCAGATTTGTTGGTCTGAGCTCTCAAATTCATAGATAGTCTTGACTTGCTCGTTGTGTAGTCAGTCACTTTTACAGCTGTGGGAGATGGTCAATGAGGAAATTCCTATTATTGTTGTTCCTTTCGAGTCATCAACAGTTTTGTTCCCTGACAGTGACAATTCCCTACTTATTACAATGCTCTAAGAACATCCAAGTGTTTCAGATTGCTCATTTCCCTTGGTGCTTTCCTGCTGCTCCACACAATAAACTGGGATCCTCTTACTCAGACAATGAGTGATCTATCAGTCAGTTTCAGTAAATTTCAGTTCTCTACCTTCCAGTCTGGGACGCCTTCCTTAACAATTCAGGAGCAGATGTGCAGGCTTACTGTCAGGAGCTTGTGAACTAAAGTGATTCTCTTGCCCCTTAGAACATTTCCTGTAACAGTCAACGTGACAGTTACATGAGACCACAATGTCTGACTTTACTGAAGAACAGGGACATTTCTTTAAATCACATCATAGCTGGATACAGTGACAGAGACAGGTAAAGTTCTGTGAGATGGAGGCTAGCCTCAGCTACATAATGAGTGCTAGGCCAGCTAGGACTATATAGCAAGATCCTGTATTTAAAAAATCACAGTGCCTTCCAGGATCCCACAATTAATGTTTGTAAATATTTATAAACAGTGTAGACATTTGTATCATAAAACTCAAGGGGAAAAACCTCACTTTAATCATGCCCCCTTGCCTGAAATTTCCATTTAATTCACTTCTTTTTTTTTTTTTTTTGAGACAGATTTTTTTCTGTGTAGCCCTGGCTGTCCAGGAACTCACTTTGTAGACCAGGCTGGCCTCGAACTATTTCACTCTTTATTAATTGTTTGAGACACTTATCAAAATTCAAATAGAGTCTTGACTGAACGACACATTTGATTCTTTATTAAGCATTTATTTAATTAAACAATTAACTTAAACATTTTATTAAACCTTGGCTAGAAATCATTTCTCAGACATATTTGACTCCAGAGGGACAGAGTAAGTTTTGTAGGTGAGTCTTTATCAAGAAATCTTAAGCACAAAGAGAGATGGAAGTTCTTTAGAAACAAGCAAACAGAAACTTTTTTTTCCTGTTTATTTGTTTGATTCCTCAAAGCCAAGTACCAACCATAGACCCATGAGGGGAGTGTTTGGGAATGTGTACCATTTACCCAAATTTTAACCAGAGCACAAGACCAGAAAAGACAAAACCTGTTGGTTTTCTATCTGTTACCTGCTTTTTAAAATTTTCCCTCCCCTTGCCTATTATCTGTTCTGAAGTATTGGCATATTAAGAATCCTGTGATTTAAAACCTCAGAGGAAGAAAGAATTAAAAGATAGAAAAGAAAACTTTAAGAAATTATTTGTGGCTCGAATGTGGATTTTAAAAAATTAAGACATTGGACAAACCTGTGTTCTTCAAGAGCAAGAAGGAAGGCAGCTTCACTGGCCACACAAAATAACACCCACTTGGAAACTCAGATTTGAAAACTTCCTCTGACGAAAGCAGTCATAGGGTCGGTAGGATAGCTCCTCCCACCTCTGCTGAACATCTGCTCTGGGGGCCCTGTGCTTCTATAAGTCAGCAGGCTAGTCCTCCGGGGTGGATACAGTTGGGGGAGGGCACGTGGTCTTTGCTCAGTTTCCGTTTAGCAGGAAACCGTTTGAGACCTTTGGCTGGGAGCCTCCACTCAAAAAGTCTCCCTTCCACCTGGTACACCCGTGACTTACTGGGAACAAGTTTCAGGCCAGGAGTTGGTTCATGTTGCAACCCATCCCTCTCCAACGTCGTGAAAGTCTTAGCCAGTGGCTAGCAAGAGCATGTGGGTCGCAACGGGTCCCCCCCCCCCCCCAGGTTTATCATTGGCTCATACTTCCTGCCCTTGGTCTTCCATCCTTGCAGGTGAGAAGCCCCACAAATGCCAGGTGTGTGGCAAAGCCTTCAGTCAGAGCTCCAACCTCATCACTCACAGCAGAAAACACACGGGTTTCAAGCCCTTTGGCTGTGACCTGTGCGGGAAGGGCTTCCAGAGGAAGGTGGATCTCAGGAGGCACCGAGAGACTCAGCATGGACTCAAATGAGTACTCTGGCAGACTGCGGCACCAGCTGTGTAACACTACTGTGAGGGATGGCTTCCCTGACTCCCTCCAGCTCCTTCTCAGGCCAGTGTGCAAAGTTCACCATGGTAATTCCCCTTCACCTTCCTTCCCAGAGTTGCTAGAGGACACGAGCTCCGGTTTCTAAGGTCAGACAAGAGTGGGAACCACAGCAGCCTTCTGTGTTTTGGGCTTCCCTACAGCTGAGGATGAGGATCAAATGAGATCTTGCACCTCCCAGGTCTTCCCTTTTCTGCTCACAGACCAGAAAGAACTCTAGGCAGCTGCTGAAAGAGGAGGTGTCTTAAGCTTTGGAAGCTGCCCAGTGCTTTTATTGAGAAAGAATGAACTCTTCTTCTGGGGAGACTGTTGACTCCTTTGTCCTCCACCACACACCAGTTTAGGGAAGGAACTCCATTCCTTTGAAATCATCAGTTGCACCATCAAGCCTGCCAGGAGAAGAAGCAGAAAAAAGAGGACTTGGTGATGAGAGGGAGTCAGCGGACCTGTGATGCCATCAGAGGAGGTGGAACTGTGGAGCAGCTCCAGGGAACAGGCCCTTCATTTACTCACTGATCATGGGCCACAGGTTCTCAGTGTAAGGTACCGGAGAGCCAGAGATTAAAGTCACAGCCCCTGACTCTCAAAGGTTATCAGTTGGACCTCAGCATAGCAGGAGCCTTTGTTCTGTGCCTTCCCAGGGAGTTCTGAAAAAGGCCACACAAACATTCGGACTTCTTTTTGACACTTCTGGAGTTTTTCAAGTGTAAACAAGAAGGAACTGGAGAGTTATTTCAAAAATTCATGAGCAAATCCAGTTTTTATTGTTAGTCGGAATTTTATAAGATGCCTGAGCTGATAGGTGTGTGGCAAAGGCTATGGCTTCAACTCCTGCCCCATATCATCTAGGAAAAACGTATTTTTCCTGTGAGGGTTGAAAATGTTCCTAGATCTTCTTGAGTGCATTATGTATTAGCAAAATCATATTTATTAGAATATTGTTTTAACTTAATAAAGTATTAAGATTATTACAGCTTGTCTTTCATTAGGCCAGGAATTTTGGGGGAAGGCTGTTGGTGTTTTTGCTTATTTTTTTCCTGTAGGGTACACCAGGACCAGAGGACTGCAGAGGAAAACCAAAGACTAAATCACAATTGTTCCAGTTTTCATATTTCCCCCTTCTTTTATTCCTAAGAACTTTAAAAAAGATTAATTTTTTGTTAATTTTAATTATGTGTCCATGTATCCCTATTTGTTCGTGTGGATGTGTGCGCATGAGTACACATAACCACAGGCCTGAGAGAGCATTGGATGTCCTAAGGTTGGAGTAATTTTGAGGGGTTGCAAGCCACCAGACATGTGTGCGAATAACCAAATGCAGGTCCTCTGAGAGAGCAGGAAGCAACTCTAAGCTGCTGAGCCCAGCCTCCAAGCCTGTCTGTCTATCTATCTATCTATCTATCTATCTATCTATCTATCTATCATCTTCCTTTCCTTTTAAAAACAGGATCTCACTATACCTATATAGTGAACTCATAGAGATTTGTTTGCCTCCTAAATGCTGGGATGAAAGGTGTGTGCCACTAGACCTGGCTAATATGTCTTAAATGAAAACTTAGGAGGTATGTAAAACTCGGCTTCTACAGCCTTGTAGAGTCCTGGATTGACCCATAGGAACTTCAATTCTTACCTCTGAGAATTTCATTTTAACAAAAACAAACAAGTAAAAACAAAACCCCCAAAACCTAAACAAAACCAAACCAGGACATAGGCTTCTAGAAGAAAAATTATAGACTTTTGATTCAGAGACCTGAATGCTTTTAAAATGTATGTATGTATGTATGTATGTATGTATGTATGTATGTATGTATTTGTGTGTGTGTGAATATGTATGTACATGAGTGTGCAGGTGCCTCAGGTGGCCAGAAAAGGGTGCTGTAGCCCTTGAGGCTGGAGTTCTCGGCAGTTGTGAGCTGTCTGACATAGATCGACTCACGTGCTCTGTGAGCAGCAGGTGCTTCTGAGTCACCTCTTCAGCCCAGATTTGAGTATAGGTTCTGTCACCAATGTATTCTGTGTCTAGGCAAATGTTTTCAGTTCCTAGTTTCCTTACCCATAAAGCATAGCTGTGGTCCTTTCAACCCAACCTAATTCTGATTACTCAGACTCCATGGAGACTGGAGAGAAGGGGAGAAAAAGGGAGCAGGGGAAGAGATTGATTGATTGACTGACTGGCTGCTGTGTAGAAAGGAAATTACAATCCTAAAATCTGAGAGAAATGTGAAATGGGGCTTGGGGCTTGTCTTGGGGTCACATGTCACATTCTCTTGTGACTTGGATACTTCCAGTTCCATATTCCAGGGCAGGAATTCAGCCCTGAGACGAGCTGTTGCAGAGGCCATGGAGAGCACTTTTTACTGGTTTGCTCTCCATGGCTTGCTCAGCCTGCTTACAGCACCCAGGACTACAACCCAGGGATGGTCCCACCCACAATGGGCTAGGCCCTCCCCATCAATCACTAATTAAGAAAATGTACCACAGGCTTGCCCACAGCCTGATCTTATGGAGATGTTTTCTCAAGTGATGTTCCCTCCTCTGAGTCAACTCCAACTTGTGTCAAGTTGACATAAAACTTGCCAGCATAGGGTTATTCTGTTCCCGTCCCATCAGTTGGTCCTTTAAAAGACTGAAACCAGGATAATGTCCTAGCCTTTTCTACTACCTGTGCTCTGATGGCTTCTAGCCAGAGCTTCAGCCCACATGGCCCAGGGGAACTGACAACATTATTTCTACTGATCAATTTCTCACATGTTAACTGAGTACCCAGCATATGTTTGGAAACATAGAAGTGAGGACAAGTCCCATGGAGCTTCATTCCGCACTAGGTGATGAAATCACACAAGACTTTTTCAGTGGGGGTTGGGGGCGTCGAACCTCTCAAATATAAGTCCTTAGCCATTCTTGTTGGTTTCCCACGACTAAGTCTTTCCATGTCAGTTGATTCTCATCCACAGTTCACTCTGGTAGAGGTTTGAAGGTATCTCAGAAACTGTGTGATAAAGAGCCCAAGCTCAGGAGAATCGTTTTCACAATATCCTGGGAGGCCAAGCCCTATTGAATGAACATAAGATGGCATCTTGCTCACAAGTCAGCATGTGCACTGGTCTCTTAGTTCCAACCCGATAGAAAAATAAAATTATAATGAAGGAGGAGTCAAGCTGATTGAAACCTGTGGGTTCTGAATTTACCCGTCTTGCCTGATGACATTGGCATATTTGCTCCACTTTCACAGGTTTTGCTTAAGCTATTAGAAGTTGTTTCTCTCTCTCTCTCTCTCTCTCTCTCTCTCTCTCTCTCTCTCTCTCTGTGTGTGTGTGTGTGTGTGTGTATGTGTGTGTGTTTTCTGTTTTGTTTGTTTGCTTTGAGATAAGGTCTTACTATGTAGCTCAGGCTTTACCAATCTAGTAGTGGGGATAACAGGTATATCCCACCATGCTTAGGCTAGAAATTATAATTTTGGCATTCACTTTTTTTTTAATTGGGAAAACTATTTATCTCTGTATCCCTCAGTTTAGAATCAAAACAAATTACTGTGCCAGTTGCCCTGTGAAATTTGAAGATTGAAAATATCTCTCTTAATGTTATTGCTTGGCTCCATTAAAAATGGATTGTGAATATTCCGTGTTGCATTATTCATGAGGTGGGCTCTATGCCTTTTGTCTGCCAGAGTAACAGTAGAAAGGGTAACGGGAGACACCCAGCGCACCTTTGTTTCTTCCTCTAAATTTTTAATAACCTCCAGCTAGCCAGTTGGTGAAGCTCAGCTCTTGCACAAAAGTGGAAAAGCACAGCTAACCCTGTTAGCTGAGTCTTTCAGGAGCTAATTTGAGTTTGTGTTCATCTACACCAGACATGATTAAATTACCTATCAAGTGTGCTGAGCTATCAGGATTCAAGCCCAGTAAAAGGTGAATTCCATCTGATTGATTTGAGACACAAATGGAACAACTGAGGTCTCTATGCACTGCCTTAATTAAAGGGGCAGCAGAGTAGCACTCCTGTGACTGCCACCGCCCTTGAAAACTGTGTGTGCATAGTGATTTGACCCAAGTCATTTTGCTGGGAGCCTTTTTGTTTAACTTGGTCATCTAACAGAAGTAAGCTAAGATCAAGGAAGCCAAAAGGTCTCCACTCTCCCTTTGCATGTCTAGAGCTATGTTTGCTTCAATCTGCACTTCTGAATTATTACCAAAGTCAAAACTTTCTATGGAGTTCATTACATATTTATTTAAACATTATCATGAAGCCAGATCTAAAACATAAAAACTTCAGAGAAATTTCACACAGAGCCTTTCTAACTTTACAGTCCACGGGTTAGTTCTTAATTTGTTTCTCGATCCTTTATTCACTGGTCTATACACGTATGCTCTACTTTTGTTTGTTTGTTTATTTATTTTACTTTGTGGTCAGGGCACTTATAATTTATATCTGCGAGCTTCATTCATTTTCTTACTGTATAGGCATATACTTAAAACTGAAATATAGCTCACAGTGAGAATTTGGACCTTGTTTTTTGTTTATTTTGAGACAGGTTAGGCTCTGAGTTATCAGTCTTCCTGCCTCCAGAGAGCTAGATTTACAGGTGAGTTCTAACAATCCTTGCTTGGACAATTTTTGTGATTAAATTATTTTATGTCTTAATACTTAATTATAAATTTTATAATTTTTGAAGACTTATTAGGAAAAATGAGGTTTTTTTAATGGTAGTGCTTTTCACTCTAAGCAAAACATTTAAACCACACTGGAAGTTACAGAGAAGAAATAACAACTTCAGGTACACCCTCCATTCTGTCATATTTACTTCAGGTGCTATTTTATTCATTTAAAAATTTTGTTACAACTTTATGTGTATGAGGGGCATGTTAAAGTCAGAGGACATCTTGTACATTCAGTTTGTCCTTAAGCGTTTTAGATTCTGGACAACAGGCTTAGTTGGCAAGCTCCGAAACTTACTTTATTTTGAAATAGAACTAGTTTCTATCCCCAAGACAGCAAGGGAGAATTCCTGCACATGACTTCCGAGCCTTAAAAAATGTTTGGAAATTGGATGTAAGTAATCTGTATTTCATGGTTATCTCTTCACAAGTTTATTGGCTTGACGGGTCTCCCTCTCAGTGAAATGTTTGCTCACGTACCTTTTTTTTTTTTTAATTAAAATGAGGCTGCCAGCTTCTTTATCAGCCTTTCCTTTCTGTGTGTACTAATCACTCACTTGTTAGAACACAGGCTATAGGATGAAAGGAGTCTGTCAGCCAGCATGCCTTGCACGTATCCCAGTGTCCTTCCTCCATCTCTTTCTTTGTTTGCTTTTGTTATTTTCGTGACACAGTTTCTATGTGTAGCCCTGGCTATCCTGGAACTCCATCTGTAGACCAGGCTGGCCTTGTTTCAGAGATCTACCTTTCTCTGCCTTCAGAGTGCTGGGATTAAAGGTGTGAGCCACTACCTGGTGTCTTTGCCTTTTCACTTTGATGAGGTCAGTTTGGTTTTTGTGTTAGTGTAGTCTGATGTACTGGTATGTTCCTGGGCTAGTTAATTTTTGTCATCTTGACCCAAGGTTAGGTCATCTGGGAAGAGGGAACCTCAACTGAGAAAATGCCTCTACCGGATTGGCCTATGGGCAAGTCTGTGGGGGCATTTTCTTAACTGATGATTGGCTGGTGGTACCACCCTGGGCAGGTGGTTGTGGATGTAGGAATGCAGGCTGCACAAATCATAGGTAAAAATCCGGGAAGCAGATTTTCTTCCTGGTCTTTAGAGTTCATGATTTGCTTGAGGGAAGCCCTTAAGGATGTGCTGTGATTTTGACTTCTAAGCCAAACTAACCCTTTCCTTCCCAAGATGATTTTGGTCATGATTAAAAAAAAAAAAGCGACAGAAAGTGAATCCGGACAATTCCTCTATGATTGTTGCTTTTCTTAAGAATCTTTGGGGCTGGAGAGATGTCTTAGTGCTTAAGAGTATTTGCTTC